AGTGATCTTCCCACTTCAGCCTCCCAAGTAGCTGGAACTATAGTATGCAGCACCATGCCTGGCTAATTTTTAAAGTTTTTGTAGAGCTGGCATCTTTCCAAGTTGTCTAGGCTGGTCTCAAACTCCTGGGCTCAAGTGATCCTCCCACCTTTACCTCCCAAAGTGCTGGAATTACAGGCGTGAGCCACCATGCCTGGCCCCAAACACTCTTTCATGAATGTGGATCATTACCATAGAGCAGTACAAGATTTTAACTGGACTCTGAATCTTAGAATTGATTCTCTTCAGTTTTTTTTTTTTTTTTTTTTTAAGAGATGGGTACCAGGTTGGCCTCGAAACTCCTGGGCTCAAGCAGTCTTCCCGCCTCAGCCTCCTGAGTATCTGGGACTATTGGTGTGTACCATCACACACAATTTATCTCTGCAGTCGTTGAAAGCAACTACCATCTATATTAAACTTTGGAGTTACTGAATTGCTAAGACAGTTACTCTGCAGGTCTATTGGTTTGCATAGTAGCTGTGATGGAGAGAACCCAAATGTCTTTCTTTTTAACTTTGTCAAGCTATTCTTTCTTTTTAGGATTCTTTTTAGTTAGAGTATGGGTGGGAACACAGAGTCCAACCCTACTCTTACGAGTATCCCCATGCTCCCTAGAACCTTTTTATATTAACATTTGGACTTTTTGCTTTGAATTTTTATCACTTCCACTGGGTTCTTGTAAAGTTTTGAGGTTCCATTTTTTTATGTTTTCCCCAGAAATTGAAAAGCTCACATTTGGAAATGTGAGCTACAACGAACCCAGGTCTTGAATTATTTCCACATGTTCCGGCTGTCTTGCTTTTTGAAAATCTAGACCAATTGTTCTAAAACTTTGTTAGGTTAGGGGATCCTTCACTTAGACAAAAGTCTTGAAAGACCGATAGGATTTCCAAACTGCCACTGCCAAATAATTCTGGAATGACAGGGAAGAGCATTACTTCTTTTAAATTAGGGGCCTGATTGATATATGCACATTATTATTTTCAGGTGGGGCTATATTATACACACCATTACAATAACATTCATAATTTACTGAGGATGTTCATAATTTACTAGAAGACTGAAGTTCACACTTTAAGCATAACTCAGATTTATAAAATGACTCTACCTATAGCTTTTGCATCTATAATGTCTGAGTGCACAAATCCTTTGTTGGTTTTCTCATGTCCAAATCTAGTTATCTCAGCTAACCACAGAATCTTTGGTGAATCCATTGGAGAAATGTCTTTATACATCAAAAAGATATTTTTTGGTAGTACACTGAAAATTTTATGTTGCAAATTTAAAGACTTACCTTAGTATGTGATCTAACGGCATGTGTGAACTTTGTATCTGATAGGTCTACTTGAAGAGCCGTAGAGAGGGAAGAGTAGATATGTTTATGGATCCAAGACCAGCAAAGTCAAGTTTGGCTAAGGAGATACTTTCAAATGGTCCTTCCTATACCCCTCCCCCCAAGTTCCTTAATTTAATGGCTTATACATCAGCTATCCGGGGGAGGAAAGGATATAAACTATGTGATAACACTCTATAAATAATAAGTTGCTACAAAATAAAAACATTACTATTTGATTACTTCACCTAACAATGGTGATACCTAAACCATATGGAAAATTTATTGTGATTGACCTCAGGTCATTAGCACATTCACATTTATCCCTATAAATACACATAGCGACTTACCACTACCCAAATTTCTTCCTAAATTCAGTAGTGAGTCACTTTGTTTATTTGGAAGTGTGAATACTGTGATCTTTAAAAACTGATTCTCATAAAAGTACACACATTAATTTACATAATGTCCTGACTTACACTGCAAAGAAGGCAAAGTTTATCTTAAGTAATGTTCTATTTGAGTTGTACAATTCCATGTTTGATGCCTTGTCTCCATCTCTGTTGCTTTCTTTCCCTTCAGTCCCCAATCTAAACTTTGCTGTTTTATGTCCTGTCTCTTGGATTCCTACTACTTGACCTGAGAAACAAGGTTGTTTTGAGAAACTAATTTGTTTTCATGTATCAGAATTCGAGTATGTAACTTTTCCCTGGTAAATTATGTGTCATTTAATAAGGGTATTCTGAGGTCAGGCACAGTGGCTCGTGCCTGTAATCTCAGAACTTTGGGAGGTTGAGGCAGGCAGATGGCTTGAGCTCAGGAGTTTGAGACCAGCTTGGGCAACATGGTGAAACCCTGTCTCTACAAAAAATAAAAAAGTTAAACGGCCGTGGTGGCATGTGCCTGTAGACTCAGCTACTTGGGAGGCTGAAGTGGGAGGACTGCTTCAGTCCAGGAGGTTGAGGCTGCAGTGATCCGAGATCATGCTACTGCACTCCAGCCTAGGTGACAGAGTAAAACCTTGTCTCACCAAAAAAAAAAAAAAAAAAAAAAAAAAAAAATTTCAAATATAATGATCATCAATGTTGCAGGTATTCTTAGGTCCAAGAGAATCTAGGTGAAATCAAAATTGTTTAGGTACTCACTTATATGGAGGCACATCCATGGAATGCCCAATTCTATGGGAATTCCATATCTCTGTCCCATTATGGAGCTAAGGAAAAGGACTGGCTGAGAGATCAGGAGATCTTAGCTCTGGAATCACAGAATCTAGGGATGAAACACAATCTTGCCCATCTTGATGACTGAATCCTAGGTACAAAATCCCTAAAAATGTTCATCCATTTTCTCCTTGAATGCCTCTAATTACAGAAACTCACTCCATATAAAGGCAGTCTATCTGATATTAGAACAGGTCTGATTGTTAACAAAATTTTTCTTTTGTTTTGTGGAAAGAATCTCCTGATAGCATCTAATCACTGGTCTAGTTCTACCTTTTGGAGCCAAACTATACAAACTGGACATCTGCTCCTCTTAACCATCTTAATAATAGCTACCACTTATAGAGCACTTATTATGTGCTAGGAACTACCCTAAAGACTTCACATGTAGTAATTTATTCTCAAAACAGCACTATAAGGAAGGTGTATGACGCTTATTCTTATTTTATATGCAAGGAAACTGAAGTACAGAAAAGTTAAGTAATTTTTCCAAGGTGACAAGGTTTAGTAGTGGCTAAGGCCAAATTTAAAGCCAGGCCATCTGGCTCTGGAGCTCCAGCTCTTCCTGACTACAATATGCTGCCTCTGAAACAGAAATACTTGAATATGGCTTATATGATGCCCGGAGTCTTCTCTTCTGCCGTCTGGACATCCCTAGGACATCCCTTCTCCATAAAGGATTTCTGTGATGGTGTCTCTTGGTGGCAGGGTGCTTTGTTCTTATGATGGGAGGAACACAGTTGGGGCTTCTAGAAGAGGCTTGTGGTGGGGTCAGTTTAAAATCTGAAAGATGATCCCAGACCTTCCCTTCTACCTGCCCACTTTGCCTTCCCACAGCCCCCTCAGCCCCTGCTGCCAGGCCTCCAGGTGGGGTGGCACTCACCTGTGTGTACGAACATGTGCTTGACGTAGTTCTGTTTGGCGGTGAAAGTCTTGTTGCAGAGAGTGCACTCATAAGGCTTTTTTTCGCCTTGCCCACTGGCTGTGCTGTGGCCTGCGGATGAGGCCAGGGGCTGTGGCGCTGGCAGCTGTGCAGTAAAGGTCGACAGGCCGGGCTGGGACACTGTCACAAACTGGGTCTGCTGGCCTGCCAGGGGCTGTGGCAGGCTGAAGAGGAAAGGCTTGGGGCCACTGCCCGCGGGCTGGGTAGTGAAGAGGGCTGGCAGGTAGGTGTTGCCAGCTGTGCCAATGACCTGGGTGTTGCTGGTCAAGGTCAGAGGCATCCTCAGGTTGCTGGTGAGAGTTTCTGTCTGGCGTAAGTAGAGCTGGGTACTTGGCAATGGCTGCCCGATGGACGTGTTGACCGAAGGCTGTTGCAGGACGCTCTTGTCGGAGCTGTTGCTGACAGTGATAACAGTGTTGTCCATCTCCACTTCATTGCTTCTCTCCGGAGAGGAAGCACCTGTTTCTAGCTGGTTTGGCTGCGGGCCACCCTCGGCAGGAGCTTCTGCAGCCTGCTCAGGTTGGGCGGGTTCAGCCTGGCCGTCCCGCGCCGCCCCAGGCCCAAACTGCTGCTCCACCGAGTCAGGCTCGGTGCCTATGGAGGAGCTGACGCCCGAGTCGAAGCTTTCACCTTTGGGCTCGCTCTCGGTGCCCTCGGCCTGGTCTGTGTCTTCCGTGCACTCCTCGGATTCGTTGCGCTCCAGGATCTGCACCCTTTGCTGCCCGTAGTAGTCGTAATCGTCCTCCATCTCCTGCTTGATGTGGATGTTGCCCACTAGGGTCTGGATGCGCACAGGCCGGGGCTGCTTGCGGCAGTGCGTGGTCTCGGGGGTGGTGGACAGGTAGCGCTCCATCTGCTGCGAGCGCTCATGGATGCGTGTGATCCAGCTGGGGTCTTCCATGTGGTGGTCGCGGGGCAGGCCGAGTGCAGTCTCGTGGTGGCTGACCACTGCACCGCTGTAAAAAGAGCGCTCCCCGCTGCCATTCTGCATGGAGCACGCGTAGAGTGCCGAGTAGATCCTGTCCACGCTGTGCTGTGGGTGGCTCTGCAGGTAGCCCGACTCCGTGTCGCTGCTTTGCCCTGACGTGCCTGACTCGGGAGTGCCCCGCGGCGTGTCCTGGCCCGAGTCTTGGATCCCCGGGAACACATCGCCCACGTTCTGTGACACGATGCGCGTGCACTCGTCGATGACTGTTTTGATCTGCAGGATGCTGGCGGCCGTGAGGATCTGCAGAGCTTCCGACTGCGAGACCCGTAGCACGCCGCTGTACATGAAGTCAATGAGCTTTTGCACTGACTGCACTGACACCACCGACGGGATCTCGATATCGCTGTAGCCAAGCAGCAGTTTGTCCTGGAAGAAAGGGCTGCCGGCTGCCAGCACGCAGCGGTGTGCGCGCAGCATGCTCCCGTGGATGCGCACCGTTACGTCACAGAAGTGGCCACGGTTGCGCTGCTCGTTGAGGGTCTCGAGCACGGAATTGCTGAAGTTGTGAAGGTTGATGCTGTGAATGCGCTCGGTCATCCCCTTGCAACTGATGTCACCTGCAGCATGTCAACGCAGACACAAAACAGGCATGGGTCAGATCTAGCTGGCTGCATTCCTAGCACCTAGGTTTCAGGTGAGTAATGCTCATGGCTCCTAGAAGCACTGCCCTTACATACGCAAGCGGGGAGATGGACAGGCTGCGGCATACAAGCTGTAGGTACGATGGCCTGAGGGAAAAGGACCTTGAATTTTGCTCCAATTCCGGCCTTAGCGCCGCAGCCATTTTGGGTATCCATGTTAATTGCCCAGAGCTTCGGCTGAGTTAGAGTGGCCTAATAACCAGATGGTTTGCTTGCCTGCTATTCCTATAGCTTCAGCAAAAAACTGAAAGGCAAATGGAAGACTTGTTCTTATGGCACACTATACCTCCACTTTATTTTTATTTATGCATTTATTTACTTGCCTTCACTTTAGACAGGCCTAAGCCCAGATTCTTTGGGAGAGTTTACATTTCCCTCAACTTATCCAAGTCCCTTATTTTATTCATACACAGTGACCATATTCATAGTTAACAAATAAACCTCCTTCCTATTAAGTCATATGGCATATTATCAAAACCCACACCATGTATGCAAAAATTCGTGAAAATTCAACCCAGACTAAGACGTCTACCAAACAGTCATGACCATGCTTTCCGGATGATGGATGGGCTACAGAAAGCAATCTGCTTGCTAAAGGGGCACTCCATGGCTGCTTTCTGTATCTACTCATTCTTCTTGTCATCTCTGACAACCTGTCTGAGCACTTTCTAGGGTGGTTGCATGTGATATGGAAGGTTTTCTGAATTTTCTGAGGCTTAATGAAGAAGGAATGTTAAAAAGGTCAGAGATGGCAGTTCTGACCCAGGAGACTAGAGTACATTGGCGATCATATTTATTATTCAAGCGGGGCACTTTCAAGAGTGAAAGGCAGCATTGTTAATAATTAGGCCAGGATAGCAGGACTAAACCAGAAGTGGGATATATGATCTCCTTGGGTAATAGGGTGCTTTATGTACTTGCCACAGCGAAGTATTAAACAGCTCCCAGGAGGAAGGCAACAGCTATGTGGAGGCTGCGGATAGCCTGACCCAGTGCCACCCCTATAATATAGGCTGTATGACAAGGGATAATATTGATAAGATTTGGATTCAGAATGAGAAAGAAAACAGGTGGCCACAGCAGATCTTAGGGCTTTTCTATTTTTCTAGCTCACCTCTCAAATGGCTCTAGAGAATTCCCCTGCAAATAATTATTCAATCAGATTCCCCATTCTGGCCTTTACAACTGAACAATCAGCTTGAGAAAGTGAAGTAAGTGGGCTTTCAAAACCAAATGGCCCAAGCACTGACTGTTGGCTTGTGACCCAAATCTCTCCATCTTGTGAGAAGCCACCTGAGAGGTGACAGCCTGCAGATAGGAAGAAGGCCTACCTCCTCGAACTCTGACAGAAGACTTGTTCAGGAAACTCAGTTCAATGAGCTTTTCTACCTTGCTTCACTCAATCACCCTCACATGGTATGAGCTTAACTTAATAAATGTTCAATAATACAATTTGCACTAATTTGTGTAAGAGCATTCTTTCTTGTTTTGACTCCATCAGGTCTGTTATGTGCCTAAAATATTGTATTAGGCTACAGATTCCATCGTTTTTACTTATATAAGACAAGTTCTCTTTGCCAGATTAAAGAATTAAGGTGAATCCCCTGTAACCATGTTAATACAAAATACGGCCCCAAAGAAGGGCACAAATAACCTAGGAAGGTCTGTTCAGGAACTCAATCAGCAGACGACCAAATTTCAAGTTCTTGCTGAGTTCAATCTACATACATACCACGATAGTAATCACAAGAGAACATTTTTTAGGGGTTACGGTTCTAACTGCTTTATGTATATGATTTCATTTAATCTTACAGCAACCATGGGGAGTAGATGATATTATTCCCATTTTACAGATGAGGAAACTGAGGCCAGAGAAACTAAGAAACTTGCTCAAGTACGCACAGGCAATTGCTGGTAGACTGGCATTTAAACCCAGGCTGTCTGGCTCTAGAGTTCACCCTCTTCACTGCTTCATTATATTGCATAGTTTGCCCCAGACTGAGGTCTGGCCCTTAGGGATCCATGGCTCTGTTGTAAAGCTGTATGAAAGGCTTTGTCCACCACTACCTCCAGCTGCTTCTATACCTATCCGTGATTTACTATGGCTTTCATGTTTCTAGGCTGTCATGCTTCGATATAGCCTCAGTTGTCTAACTTAAATAACTTATTTTTTTAGATGTCACAGTGCAAGAAGTAAGACAACTAACTAACTGGCACTATGGTGTAGAATTTTCGATATACAATTTTACTATAAACAAGGTCTCTTTCATTTAAGAAAAACAATAGGCAGTAAAACTGGTTGTGTCTGTGATCATCTCTGGGAAGGATGGATTTATTACATTTTTTCTATGCAAGTGAAAACACTCTTTAAACACACATTTGCTGATAGCATTGGTTACAACAATAACACTAGAGATGTCATATATGACAGAGTTTTCTTTCAGATAATTCTGGGAAGTAGCTCTATCACAATTATCACAATAATTAGTATCCACGTAGTATCTGACAGTGTATACAACTCTTTTACATGTAACATCTCATTTACCCCTTATAGCAAGCCTATATGTGTTCCGGACATGTTTTTTTTTTTTTGGACAGAGTCTTGCTCTGTTGCCCAGGCTGGAGTGCAGTGGCACAATCTCAGCTCACTGCAACCTTCAATACCCGGGTTTAAGCCATTCTTGTGCCTCAGCCTCTCGAGTAGCTGGGATTACAGGCGTGTGCCACCACAACACCCAGCTAATTTTTGTATTTTTAGTAGATGGGTTTTCACCATGTTGGCCAGGCTGGTCTCGAACTCCTGACCTCAGGTGATCTGCCTGCCTCGGCCTCCCAAAGTGCTGGGATTACAGGCATGAGCCACTGTGCCCAGCCCTTCAGGACAAGTCTTCTTATTACTATTTCATATAAGAGAAAGTTGAGGCTCTCAAAATGTCTAAAAGACTTGCCCCAAAGTTTTACACAGTAGCACATGGCAGTGTTGGGATTAGATCCTATGCCTCTTAATGCTTTTTCCACTGCATAACAGTGGATCACTGAGGAATGAAACTTGAAGTGCCCAAAGATCGAGAGTTACCTTAATTCTCAGCAGAAAAAAAAAAAGACTCTGAAAGTAATGATGAAGGTTGCCTTCAGAGATGAGAAATGAACACATAATCACACACACACACAATTTCATGAGAAAAATGCAAACTGACCGGACTGGATTGCAAATTTAGTTCATCTAAACAATCAAGTTATCTACTAAATAGTCTGAGTTAAGACTTCTGTGATAATATTGCCACCAACTTCATTAAAAACCACAGAGACAAACCTAAACCTGCACACGTACACAACCTGACCTGACATGGCTGGTTGAATTTTATAGACACAATTCTTAAATATCTCCCTGAGTACACTGGCCCCACACTGCAGTGAACAGTCATGAAAAGCTGAATCGTTTTTGCTGATATGAGTACAGATGCGAAGGGGGACCCTGCCTCCCCATTCAAGCGCTCCTCATTCCTCCAGCACACAATGCTGAGGCAATTCCTTTCCCAGGCTTTCTTTTATTTTTAACACTAATACAGTGGGAAAAAGTTTCTGCCACAGCAAGGCAAAGTCCAGGCTTTTGTGAGCATGTCCTTTTCATCCAATGGACATTAATGTATAGATTCCAATGGAATAAATCTGAAATACTCTACTGTAGAAGATTTGTCCCCCATTGAAAACAAATCTTGATTAGATGGTTATTCAGGGAGTGTATAGGAAGGAATGGTGTGAAAATGCTAACTCTATTCTTTCTTAGATTGGCACTGAATAGGCATTTGGGCTATTCAAAAAAAAAAAAAAAAAAAACCCACCACCACCCAAACCCCAACCCTATCAACTGTACAAAACCACAAAACTTTACATAGAGTATGTGATTATGTGTATTTGGGGATTCTTCCCCACCCGAAATAAAAAATGCACAGTGTTATGAACACAAAACTGATGGCAAAATGAAAAAGTGATAAAAATAGTTCTCTGTTTTAAAATAATAACTCACCTCCTTTTCACCAGAGTAAAAATATAGAGTCAGCCTGTGATGGCATTCCCCAGAAACATGGAAGGAATTGCAGTAATGAACGTCATCATGTATTCTAAGTGACTGTTCTGCGAGAGCACAACACAGACGGGGCTAAAGCAGGGGTGAGTACCGAAGGGAAAATCTGCCTGTGGGGAATTGGGGATAGAGGGCCTGACTCTCTGTTTTGCAGGAACCTTGCTCCTGCCTGTCCCTTAAGCTGCAGGGGTCCAGGGATAGGACTTAGCATGAGAATAAAAAGCTGCCTGCTCACAAGAGAAAATGAGCAAGAAAGGAAACAGCAGGCAATACAATCTCTTTTAATTAGGTGTGAAATCCAGTCCTTTCTCAATCAGGAGAGCAAAAGGATATATAAAATGAGACTAGTGCGAGGGTAAGATGCTATAGAGGGGGATGGGGATTTGAAATCTCTGGACTTGGAAGGAAACACCATCTCTCAAATGAAAACCAATATAAATTTCGGTCCAGTTAATAAGCCTAAGTCAAGTGGCAGGGCCAGAAAGCCTTTGAGCTTTCAATTTGGGGCGCCAGATGAGGTTAGTGGGTCTGCACATGAAACAGGGTGCAGCTTGCCAAGTTAGTCACACTAGGAAAGAGTTAGTCATCTCTGGAGAAAGGGGGGATGTATTTTGGTGACTGAGCTCCCTTATTCTCCAAACCCCCTGCCTGGGGTAAGACCTCAGTTACATCTACTTTACCTCTTCATATATGCCAAGGGAGTCCTGCTGAATCCCTGCACTAGAGGAGGTATCATAGTTTCTCGCTCACAGGTTCCATCCAGAGCAAATGACTCTGAACCACCCTGCTCTCTCTTTCTATCTCACTAGTATCATCACAGTCTTGGGACGGTGGCTGGGAGCACTGGAGAAATCACACGCACATGGAAGGTGGCAAGCAGACAAGATCTCTTTCTCCTACCCTGGCTCCACATACCTGGCATATCCCAGCTGTTATTACTTCAGTAGTGAGACTAGGGAGGGTCATCAGCCTAGGGGAGGGAGAGCTGTACAGTTTTACTTACCCATTCTTGGGTGAAAAGGGGGATGTTTTGGGCCATCTCCCAATGAGGGTTCTCCTCTATCTTCCAGATTGTCTAAGCCCAGTCTGGAGGACCCATCAGGGATTTCAGCACATTTTTTAGCCATTGGTAACAGAATTCTTCACATAAAACATACATCAGTTGTTGAAGTTAGAAAAAATTTGACTTTACACTTGTAGAAATTTGACTTTCAAACATATTTGCAGGAATGGCTACCTATGAAAGTTGGGGACTAGCTGGATGTGCTTTTTTAGTCACTACTTATTATTTTATCTAGACAAACACATTAAAAATTGCTAACTTGTTTACAGTATTTACAACACCACTCTATTTATGATCCCACTACTGTAATTGGGTATGTCTTTAATATTACCTGAATTTTTATTCATTCATAGAACATTTCTAGAGAATACTTAAAAGCAGTTAAAGGTCCTTGGTTTTATGTTTGGGTTTTAGGGGGTATGTATAGTTTTCATGAATGGACATGTTTATACTTTTATAGGAATAAGAACAGTGGCTTTCATCAAAATCTCAAAGGGGTCTGTGTTTTCCCCAAATTAAGAGCTGTGGATTGAGATTCAGGCATCCCTCTTGAAAATACTTGTAACTACTTTCCATAGTCAAAGCTTCTAAAACTGTGGCAAACTTTGTGATTGCATTACTCTCTGATGCATAAGGTCTGTTGAACTAATCTTTTCCATTTACTTAAGTTGAGCTGATGCTATTTTGTGTAAGAAAGCAAACAATCTTAGCCAAAACGAGAAAAGTTACTTTTCAGAAGAGAAAGATTTTTGAAAAAGATTGAAAGGGAAGACAGAAATATAGATAACTACTAATACTAGTAGAAATCTGGATTATGGCAGCCATATCGTTTACAACTGTTGAAGCTAACTATTATTTAGCAAACTTTGTCTTACTCAGAGTAGATACCTTTTGACAGTTAAGACAAATCCACAGAAGAATTAGAAAACACCCTTTAACATTTTTTGACTGTTAAAAATTAGATATTGTGGTATAATTTGAATAAAAAATAAATATAAACTCAATATACACATCTAATCAGCCAAAAAAATAGTTTACTTGCAAGACTTTTTTCCTCCTTCCCTTTCTTCCTTTTTGCTGTTAAACCACTAAGTTTTACTAAGCCTGAAGTATGGGGAACAAGGAGGCAAAATTGAGAACTACAAAAACATTTGCCCTGTGATTTTCAGGCCCATCCCCAAATCTTGACTTATCTCCCATTCCTGACTTCTTTTTCCTCTCTTCACTCCACCAAAAAATAAGAGCTTTGTACTTTATCTAAGGCTGAGAACAGATTTACATTACTAGTGGGATTTTACAGGTCCAAAGGAGAAAGTAATTCCAGAAAAGTCTTTTTATTTGGCCTTAGAGGTCTCACAGTTTCCCTTGGTTAGCCCAGGTCTTCGGCTTGCCTTTTTATGTTAAGTCTGCTGTTAATCTCTAAGAAAGGATGAGGGCATGCCTGCCCATATTGTAAAACTGTAAATACAACTGACTTATGAATGAAGTTGCTTTTGGGGTCACTTGAATTTTCACCAATTCATTAGTGAAACATTTACTGAGAATACTCCACTGTAAATGGAACCATAAGGATACAAATGATCTGAAATCTAAATCAATGAAAGAAATTTATCCATAAGGATCTTTGATGTTGGAAACATACATTAATCAATCAACTTCTCCCAGACCTCAGTGCTCACGAAAAGCTGTGTTTTGCTTTTCTTTGTGGAGCCTGTGAATATCATAACTGATCATGTTTCCCTCTTGGCTCTGTTTACTAGGGAGCGCAGAATAAAAATTTAGGCCCCCTTTTAGCAACTATGTAGGACCTCATGGTACGCTTTTCTATGTAAAATTTTCACCACCCTCATTATATTATCAATTATTTATTTTACCTCTACTCTGATTTCTTTTTTTTTGTAGTTATATAGAAATATATTTCCTACATATTTATTAACAGTTGAATATTATTTTAAGCCACCTTAAATCCCTTACTTATGAGGTGAGGGCATAATCAATCAATCAACAAGTAATTGAGCATCCACTTTATGGAAACCAATTCCAACCATAACTTAAAACTTCAGTCTTGAGTATTATCAGGCTATATGCTTTATGAATTTTTATACTTTGAGCATCCGATTCCAATGATTGTAATGAGGTAAACTGTTGAAGTTTACATTACAGTACAGTTTGTGAAAATTAAGTTTTACTCTGTGAATAAAGGAATTGGATAGATAATTTCAGACAACATTCTGAAAGACACTTATGCCCTCATTCCAAAGTTGAAATGAAATGTGGGGGAGAAGACCTGCTGGGACTAAGGAGAAAAGTTGATGAAATCTGAGGTTGATGCCTTTAAATCCTCTTATATTGTAAACCTTTTGAGATACCTTTTAGGAGTTTCATTTTTTCTATCTCTAAAGCGCTTTTTTTTACAAATTTAGCTACTGCCCTATTGTAACCTTTTCCTTTGTTCACTAAATCTGGGGAACAAAAATACAGAGATGCTACATCCGTAGGTGGGATACAAAAATGAACCAAGGGATCTACTCACATTCACAAAGTTGTGCTGTTTGAACTTGGCTTTGAATAGACCTTAAAGAAGGATCTGTATATTCAATTGTACAGTTAATAAGTTAGGTCTTTTGCTTAAAAAGAAATCATAAATTTAAAAATTGAATATATGAAAACCAGCATCTTCTTACTTAATAATCTGTTCTTGTGGTCTCTACATCATCATATACTTATTTTATAGAAAAAACCGGATTTCTAAATTCAGTGAGTTCAAAGATTCAGTATAACTCCCAGGTATGGCATTTCTTTAAAGAATATCATCACACACTGATGAATTATAGTTAGGTAAGAAACTAATTTTTTGACTTTGGGAAAACTTTCGTCTAGACTTAAATGAGTGAGAAAACAGAACTCAATAGTGTCACTAAAAAAAAAGTGTTCTGACAAAAAATATCATCAAGTTCCCAATTCATAGAACTTCCTTTAGTCCTCTGTTGCTGTGGCATTCTGAAACTACTTTTGAAGCAGGTCCTCAAATTCATGCTCAAATGTTCTCCCTGCTTGGGTCTTTCTGAAAAATAAAAAAAGTTGCTTCCAATGAGACCACTGTTTTTCAAAAGTATCTCTGTTTGTTGGTAGGAGGGGAATGCAAGATTTCTCTCTCTCTCTCTCTCTTTTTTTTTTTTTTTTTTGAGACAGAGTCTTCCTCTGTCCCCTAGGCTGGAGTGCAGTGGCACAATCTCAGCTCAATGAAACCTCTGCCTCCCAAGCTCAAGCGATTCTCCTGCTTCAGCCTCTTGAGTAGCTGGGATTACAGGTGCCCACTACCACGCCTGGCTGTTTTTTTTTTTTTTAAGTAGAGACGGGGTTTCATTATTTTGGTCAGGCTGGTCTCAAACTCCTTATCTTGTGATCCGCCTGCTCTGGCCTCCCAAAGTGCTGGGATTACAGGCATGAGTCACTGCACCCGGCCGATTTCTCTATGGACTTGAGCCATGATAGATAATTTTACTGAGGAGTAAAGACCTTCTACCCCAAAGCAACAGGGAAAAGCCAAGGAAAAAGGTAAATCTGTTTTGTTGGATGACTGGTTAAAATGGAAGCACTGAAGTGATTTGTGTGGGCTAGGTTCAGAGAGTAGCTGAAATTCATCTGCGTACCTCGGGTGATCCATTATAGAACCAGGCACAGGAAATCCTTAAAAAGAAAGAATAGGACATAAGTTCCTTTTTAGCTTATACTGAGATGAAGAATAAGTGCTGTCAGATAGAACTCAAAACCTTGGGTGGTTCTGGTAAATAAGTAAAGTAGAAGGCATACTTTGTAATCATTTTAATCACAAGTAGGCATTTTATCTTTATGATATCTTTATATATTCTTTTGTATAATATTTATATTATTTACATATTATCAAAAAAGTCATTGAGCTATAGAAGTCACCTATAGCTATAGCTAACGTTTAAATTATCTGATCTCACTTCACTGATTTGGTTGGATTTGATTTTCTCTAAAATAAAATCTCTATGCTAATCCAAAAGGTTGGCCATTTTGCTTTCCTTTGTGTGGATTACATTCATTTTTACTTCTCTTCTGCTTCTTCTTCTTCACAGTTCTTCAGTTATTGTGGTTTCTCTCCTCACCAAGTCTTATCATTTCCATGAACCTTATTCAAACTTCTTCCTTCTCTGTGAAGCCTTCTGTGATTACTAGAGTTCATCCTGAATTCTCTTTTCTTGGTTTCCACTGGTTGGTGAGGTAATAAACTGAGACATTAATTTTTGGCTTGTTCTCACCGAATAAGAAAAGTTTCCTAATGAGAAGGTAGCTCCCCCTTCCTCCACCTGTAGGAAAGAACGCCAGGTTTTTGTATACTTTATAGGGTCCTTTGCCTGAGGGAGTTGTGGTTTCAGAGCCCATTAAGCCCTAAAGAAGAAACCTTAAAGAGTTTTCTTTACTAATCTCTGTTCTCTAAAGTGAATTATTAACCTGGGCCCCTTCTGGGGTAAGGAGAGTGAGGTTGATTGATGCTTTGGAGTTTGAGAATTGGATAGCACTACTGGAGAGAAAAACAATCAACTTTCCCTCAAATGGGGAAGGTAGCAAGGTCTCTACTTGCATACAGCTCCAGTTGGGGTAACTGCTTGGCACACTTCTGGAGGCTGGACATAAAAAGGCACTGCTTTGAGAGGAGCAGTGATCATCTGAGGGCTGGGCCAATGGTCAACAGCAAGGACCACTGTGGAGGGCATCTGTAAACCCAGCTAGTGCAGTAGTGCTGGCAGTCAGAAGGACCAGGCTCAATGGCATCTTTGTGGGGTAGTCAAGCAATGTCAATGATGGAGACCATCATGGACTAAGGAATTAGATTTCACTGAGTCTTGTACCAATCTAGGGATGAGAAGGGAGCCCCAAAACTTGGCTGTATTTCTTGCTAATTTGGTGTCAGGGGCCTCAGGTTTAATTTTCTTTAGAAAAATAAGGGAGTTTTTTGTACCTGAATGTTGAGGAGTGTTGGGGAAGTTCACCTGAACTTCCTATACATGTAATACCTAAGTTAGTTCTTACCAGTGTATTACTGTCTCTTCTCTTTCTTTTTTCATTTGTGTCTGTCTTATCTCTCTAAGACTCCAAGCCTCCCAAAGGCTAGTATCTTGTCTTGTTGTAACCACAACTACAATGACAACTACAAATATATAACTGGATCGCTCGTTGTGCCCAGCATGTTTCTGTATAATGTGTGGGTTCTATGTGACTGCTTGTTTGGTCAACTCTTCACTA